GCTCTTCAATATTAGTATATATTTAATATTTTATGCCCTAAATTTTATTTGCTCTCCCTTATGTCCCGTATTTGGTTTCAACAATACCTATACAATTATTTTATTGACAATTATAATCAATCTTGACTATATTATCTTGCATTTGTAAACTTAGAATTGCCTATTTAAATACGCAAATTTAACATTCAATTATCTATGCATGAACAATTCCAATATAATTTTGCATTGATATACTTTAAAGTACTTATTTATAAATAAACAAAAAAAAAAATATTGGGCATTATCCCAATCGCGCAATGCGTGTAAAAAACTAGTATATATATATATATATATATATATATATATATATATATATATATATATATATATATATATATATATATATATATATATATATATATATATATATATATATATATATATAAAATAGAGATCAAATGTGGTAATAGGCTTCAGATACAAGAAAACTTTATTTTTAAAAATGCGGTGATAATTTAGTCTTTTTGCATATTGATCAAACTTAAGGTGTGCCGTTCTCTTTTTTAAGGTGCGTCAGTTCTTCAGTTGAGAACTTAAGGTGCATTTTTTGTTGAAACTTTAAGGTGCTTCAGTCTAAAGCTTTATGTGCGTCTTTTTATACCTTAAGATGCGCCGTTTTCCTTCTTAAGGTGCGTATATTTAAAGCTTAAGTTGCGTCGCTTTTCTAGTTTAAGGTGTATACATTAGTCTAAAGCTTTAGGTGCGTCTTTTCATAATTTAAGGTGCGTCGTTTTCCTTCTTAATGTACGTATATTTAAAACTTAAGGTGCGTCACTTTTTTAGTTTAAGGTACATCAGTTTAAATTTAAGGTGCGTGGTTTTATAACTTATGCGTAATTTTATATCTTAAGATGGATATTTTGAGACAATTTATCATTTGCATGCATATTGACAGAAAGCGCATTTTTTTACAAATACTTTTTCTTGATTTGAGCTGTTAATTTAAATTAGATTAACAGCTCAGATTTCACCTCATCTTTCAGTTGGAGAGTCTTCAATATATATAACACGTTTCACAATAAATATCTATTAAAAAATAAGATTTACCCATCCTAGCTAATATTTATAGTTAGGACTTGGCATTTAATTTATAGATGGAATGCAGGAGTGAATGTTCAGATTACGTACGTGTATGTTCCGATCCACTGGACGAGAGAAACAGTGGGAGTGGTTGGGTGATAGATTGTCATTTAATTTATATATATGGATGCATGCCAATTGCAGGCTAGGCCGGCCCCGCATTAATTATGTGGTGTCCGGTGGTTGTGGCCAACAAAATTAAGTAGTTGATTGATTTTGAATTGTATCTTTTAAGCTCATATAAAGATTATGATCTAACAGGTAGGTTATACATATATGATTATATTTCTATATTGAAGTGTCAAATCTAAACATCAAGATCTATTACAACTAAAAAATATAATGTTATTTATTGGTGGTGTATATTTATTAACGACCAAAAACATGTTACAACTAGAAGATAAATACATATTAAAAAGAATTTCACTATTAGTTATGGATATAAATTTTGTAATTGCCTATAATGTATAAGAAGTCATTACTCATATAGAAAAAGCGGGAATATATATTATATATTTTAATATGCATGGAAAAATGAAAAAGGGTAATGGGACAGCATGGTGGTGAAGTACGTACAAGTTTTGTGTGGACTGTGGCCAACACCTACATGTATCTCTATGCACATTGCATGTCTGCCTTGTTATTAGGCAATGTGTTTTCCTTTCATTTGACTTGTCTTCATCTGTGACAAAGCACAGCTAGTAATCAGCGGCGGAGCCTAAGGGGGCCGGCCCCCACCCCCCAAAATTCTTTATAAATATATATATGTATATATTATTATAATTAGAGATAAAAAATAAATAAATACTTTTTTACTCCCCTTATTTTTTGTTTTTTGTTTTTTTTAATAAACTGAAAATATATATTAAAGTCCAAATTAATCAAATAAAATGAAATGTTTTCAAAAAAAAAAATAATAAATTAAATAATCAAATCCTTTATTCTTTCGAGAAAATGGTCAAATAGACCACTATTGGGTCAATGAAGTCCAAAAATCAATAAATGACATGTTATTATATGTCATTTCAATTCCGGTGACGAATTCCGATCGTCTTCCACTGGAGAAGACTACCAGACGTGTAATAACATGTCATTTATTGGTTTTTGGGCTTTCCAATTTGACATGATTAAGGGATTAATTGCTCTTTTTTAAAGTTTAGGAACTTAATTGACCTTTAGATAAAGTTAGGGGTCTATTTGACCATTTTCATCTCTAAGCTGGATTGCTAGAGTATGTGGCTATGTGCATGCTTTCTTTTATTAGTTGATTAATTAATTAGTGATTTATTTTGTGTTTTTATTATTTATTTATTTACACTTTTAGAATGTACATTCGCTAACTCAAATTATTAGTTTTGGAATTGGAAAAACCAAAGTTAATATTAATTCTTTAATTTTTTTTTTAAATACTCGTGGTTCTTTACAAGTGAATCTAAAATCTCACCACCAAGATTTGAACCTATAACCATCCATTTAGATAAGTAACCAAGATGCCATCACACTACATGGTAGTTGACAAGTTAATTCTTTAATTCTTGATTATAAGTTTAGTCCTCATACCTCAAATTTTAAAATATTAAGTTAATCAATAAAATAAATATCAATCAATTATCTAAAAAATGTTGCCAACAAAATAATTAACATATTTTATCTGATAAAAAGGTGGCAAACAAGATTAAAATAAAAATACATTTATTAATATATTTTTTTGTATTATGTCAAATTATATAAAGTATCGATGCCAATCATATTTAATTTGTACAACAATTATGTAGTTCTTACATGATTACACAAATTATAATTAAAAATTATTATCAATAATATATTATACAAATATATATGGTATGCACAAATGCACAATAATATCAAGTATAATAAGTAATGATATTGACTGTCTTATAAATTTTTACGAAAATTTTAACTTCTCAAATGTAAATTTTCTGACTCTACCCCTGCTACTAACATTCCGATTAATCTTACCAATCATGTGGAGCTAATGATATTGGAACATTGGAATAGTGATACTTAATTACTCATATATCATAACCCCAATAATATTATTTCCAAATACGTACTGACACTATAATTATTATTATATTACGTGTTCTATAAATGGAAAGTTTGATTATTGTCATATTGTGTATGAGAATAAATAATTATAAAATTAATTAATGCGATGGAAGAGTAGTTGATTATGATATTATATTCAATTCTATCATTCTTCTCCCATATTATCCTGCAATGCATGCATGTATATATAGTCAACAAGCCAGGCCATACACTACACTTGTCCCCATTGACCAATTAATACCACATTAAATGCCAACTGGCAGCTGAGCTGATAACAAACTTTTATTTATTTTTTAATTCATTATATTTTTATTATTATTATATTTTATGTAGAATCAATTATTCATACTTAGATCGTATAGTATACAGTATAGTACTATATACATACGTTGATCCATTATTTTAAGTTACATATATATAATATAATCTCTGCACATAAACAAATACTTAGTATTAATCTTTAATTAAATAAAATTAAAACAAGCTTAGCTTCTACAAAATATTAATAATTATTGTGACAAAGTTATGGACTATTGTCCGTAATTAACGTACAAGTAGCAGGGTCGGTTTTTAAATTTTGGTGGCCCCGTTCTGGTAAATAAATGAGGTCCTACCAAAACCACAATCTTTAAATTTAATATTGTATTTAATAATAATAATAATAATAATAATAATAATAATAATAATAATAATAATAATAGTGTGCGCAAACTCGCAAAGTAAAATGATTTAAAAAGGAAGAAAAAAAACAAAAAAAAAAATATTATGGAATAAATTACAATTACAATAATAATAATAATAATAATAATAATAATAATAATAATAATAATAATAATAAATTTAATTTTTTTTTTAAAAAAGGGGAGATGTTCAAAGTTGGAGCAACACTCAAGTTTGAATCTGACCTCCAAGTTAAAATACAATAAGCAGAACTTTTGGTTTTTAGTATAAATTAAATATTGGACCTAAGTTTCGAACCTCTAACCTCCAAGTTAAAACATAATAAACACATATTTCTACCATTCCTCCAAGGAATCTTTTGAATTTAATTGAAAATTTTTTGTTTTTATTTCGAAATTCATTAGGTAAAAATTAAATCTTGGACCCAAGTTTTGAACTTCTGACCTCTAAGTTAAAATATAATAAACATGTTTTCCTACCATTCCTCCATACAACCATTTTAAATTTAATTGAAAACTTTTAATTTTTATTTTTAAACTAGCTAGGTAAAAATTAAATATTGAACCCTTTAAAATTTAGGGGCCCTCTAAAATTTGCGGGCCCTGTGCGGTAGCCCAGCTTGCACAGTCTAAAATTCGGTCCTGACAAGTAGAGTAGTAGTATTGAATTAATTAACAAAATAAAAAGTTATAAGAAAGGTTATAAGAAAGTAGGATTGGATGGGGAATGAGCAATCGTTATATCATGTACTAGGACACACAATGCATTACCGTCATGTCTAAAATGACATCGATTTTTATGTTAAGATTTTATGTATATTATGTTAAGAATTTATGTGTATTATGTATTATATTATACATTTATACCATTTTGTATATTCGAAATATGAATTTGTTTTTAAAGTAGTTAACGGTAAAAAAAGGGAAGCAGAATTAAAAAAAAAAAAAAAAAAAAAAAAAAAAAAAAAAAAAAAAAAAAAAAAAACAGATAGCAAACGACGCCGTATTCGATATAATTTGCCGGGGATGAGTATGATGGAGGAGCATTTGGGGCCTGGGCAACAGTGGGCGGAATGCATTGGATTTGGGCCGAGTTCCCATACATACATACTGCAAAACAAAACTTGATCATGTTGAAGCACCTTTGTTTGTTTGTTTAGCTGAATTAGATTATGTTGAAGCAGTGTATAGTAATGGAAGAGTCGGAGGTTGGAAGCATCGGAGAGTACGCAATTTTGTGTCGACTGGGCGGCGGAGCTGTATCGCAAGTGTGGAAAGCAGAGCACAAAAGGAGCGGCCAAGTGGTGGCGCTGAAGCAAATCCGCCTCTCCAACCTCACTCCCCACCTTAACAATTCTCTTCACTCTTCTCTCACCTTCTTGTCCTCTGTAAATCATCCAAACATCATTCGCCTTTTCCATTTCTTCCAGGTTATAATTACTTCCTCCCCTCCCCTCCCCTCCCCTCTTTATTTTCAATTCTCAGATACATACTATATTATTGTCCTCCCTCCCTCCCCCCATCTTTAATTAAGGAATTCAACTTCATGTCCCTCCGATCCCTTGTGTTGTTTGGATCCAGTTTTCAATTTTATGCGATCATTTAATGCTTTAGGAGAATCCCAACCGGCCGTCTCTTTGTGTTAATAACCTAATCTAACCTAACCTAACCTAACAGCTTTGCTTTATTTACTTCAAAATTATAGCATTAACAAACAAAGCATTTAATTAATTTGGGTCATTCCATGCCCGCATCAATCAATCAATCAATAATAGTCAAGAAAATTATTCTGCTTTCCTTAAACGCTGTATACATACAATTTACTGAATACTGATGGAAGTAAACAAACAAATTAAACGTCTTCGTTCCGATCCTCAGGCTGAGGACTGTGTTGTTATGGTATTGGAGTTCTGTGATGGAGGGAATTTGGCATCATACATTCACCACCATGGGAGAGTTCAACAATGTGTAGCAAAAGGATTTATCCAACAGCTTGGTATGTACACTAATATAATAAAGCCTTCTTTTTTTTTTTTTTTTTTAAATATATATATTTTACATCATCAGATGAGATGAGATGAGATGAATCTCACATACACTGGACACTGCAGGAGCTGGTCTACAGCTACTCAACTCTCACCGAATCATCCATCGTGACTTGAAACCAGAGGTGCTCATCTAGTCATCTCTCTCATTTCTTGTTTCTCAAACTTCAGCTAAGTTTATTATTATTATTATGTATGTGCATATATATTTTTAATTAGATATGTTTCCTTGCCACACTTTAGATCTTACCACAAGGGTAGAGACCGTTAGAACATTAAATGGCCTGGGGCAGGAAAAGTCGTATTTTTTGCAATAAGCACATGCATGTTAATGCATTACTAAAAGTACATTAGTACACAAGTACTACATGCATTCAATTCTGAAAATTGAATGAGTGGATGAATAATGATAAACAACAAAATAGGCTCGCTCATGAAGAATAAGTCAAAACACAGTTTTAATGTTTATTGTACTACACCATTTTCTGCTGCATTTATCTTTAAAATTTTCCGTTAACTTGTCTTGTTTTTTAGGTTAGCAATCAATAGTTGTTTAGGCAAAAACATTCTAAACTAATTTGTCTTGAAGACTTGTCTCCTTTGAATTATATTATAAAGAATTTATCTTTATCTCAAGATTTTCTGTTTTTTTTTTCCACCTAAAATAGCACACTGTTTTTTGGCAGCTAAAGAAACTTTGCAACTCTGCACAATTTCTTGTCTCTAACACTGCAAATCTCAAAATCACTAATTTTAAGGCTTTTAATGGTTCAGAATATCCTCTTGTCCTTCTGTGAAAATGGCCCAGTACTGAAAATTGCTGATTTTGGTTTGTCAAGGTAACTGCAACCAACAACCTAGCTAATATGGAATTTTGAGAGGGAGATGCTAAATTGCTGTTTCACTGATTTTATTTCGTTTATTCTGGAAGCAGAACATTAAATCCAGATGAGTATGCAGAAACTGTTTGTGGCACTCCATTTTACATGGCCCCTGAAGTTTTACAATTCCAAAGATACAATGAAAAGGTAAAAGCCTGACCGTTGATGACTTCTTTAAATGATACGGAGTAGTAATAAACTAGATCTGAATATCTGATCTTTCTTAGCTTGATAGGTAGATATGTGGAGTGTTGGAGCAATTCTTTTTGAATTGCTTAATGGTTACCCTCCTTTCTGTGGCAGGTCCAATGTTCAGGTAGCATCCATCATTGTTTACTTTTCTAAAATCTCCTCCTCCTATTTACATCTCCATTTTCTCCAGTTAAAAAAAAAAAAAAAATTATTTTCAATCTCCAGCTTTTGCAGAATATCAAGTCATGTACACGCCTTCCTTTCTCTGAGCTAATCCTTACCGAATTGCACCCTGACTGCATTGATCTGTGTTCAAGACTATTATCTATTGATCCAGGCTAGCATTCACTCTCCCTCTTAATTCCTTAATTGGAATCTTACACTTACTGTGTGTCCTTGTCCTTGTCCTTGCCCTGCCTGGCAGAGAAGCGCTTGTCCTTTAAAGAGTTTTATCAGCACAGGTTCTTGAAAGTATGATAAAAAGTAAGTAAGAGCTGAAAACCACTCCACTGTTATATGCTATACTTTCTCTCTATGGATACAGGAAAGTTGTCTAAACTTGCAGCTTTGGATGTTTTTATAAGATTATTCTTTATGGTGGATTGATGGTGCCATGAATTTCTTTACAGTGTCATATCCAAGAGAAGAAGTTTGATATTCAGAAGAATTTTCAGTACATTAGAACGATCAGATCAGTGGAGATGAAACCATGCCAGCCTGAATCTTAAATGGCTTGTTACTGTTAAACTAAAACTATGTATTGAAACCCCTTGGGTGCATAATAAACTTTTAACTTTGATATTGCTTAGTTATTCCCCAGTTTTGAATATAGCAATCATCTACCTTATCATGTCACTTAATGCTATCTTAACAATCTCTAGAAAGCATTCAAAAAAACAATCTCTAGAAACAATACTGCACTAGTTTAAAAAGTTTGGAAAAAGGGTCAAATACACCCTTCAACTTTATGTAAGAAGTCAATTAGACCTTTGAACTTTTGAAAGTTGTAATTACACACATTAACATATTAGTTTAGTGCATCAAGTTTCAAAACCCTAATAGTGAGTTGCAATAACAGGTCAATAATGCTCCGACGAAGGCAACCATGCTCACCCAAACATGATGATTTCACGTACGGCGTAGATACAATTCATTTAAACAATTACCAAATTAAACTAAGCTAATTACTCAACAACACTAAATGAAATTGAAAGCTCTGTTCGTAACCATCACAGTAAGTTAGCAATTCGATAATTGTTAATTGAAAAGTAACCTATTAGCTAAATCCACACCAATTGAATAAAGGAAAAAACACTATGTAAAAGAAGGAGCACCAGATTTGATGTACTGGAGTTACAAAGCTGGCGACTGAAGATTGCTTTTTGGGTTTAAAGTAGGAATTGGCTCATGAAGGAGAGCAGCAAGAAAATAAAACATTGGCCTATGCAGGTCTCGAACCTGCGACCTTCGCGTTATTAGCACAACGCTCTAACCAACTGAGCTAATAGGCCATATATTATAGTAATGATTTTTTAACATAAAATCCTATTTCATCGTCTTATCTTATGCACAAAGAACAAAACACGGCAAATCACAAAATATAAATAAAAAGAGTTTTTTACACTTTTAGTCCCACAACTATAGTGTCACTAACAATTTTGATTCACGACTTTTAAAATTTGTAAAATTGATTTACGATTATAATTTTCTTAGCAAATTTGATCCTTGCGGTGCATTTTTCGTTCAATTTTACTCATCATTTTAACATGGGTAATATTATCTTTTCCATCTCACAAACTAAAGATATAAATAAATAAATATATAAACACAGCTAGTGATAATCACTGTATCACTAGTTGTGTTTATTTATTTATTTATGTCATTAGTTTGTGAGATGGAAAAGAAGACAATATTACCTATGTTAAAATGGAGAGTAAAAGTTTTCAGTAAAAATTGAACAAAAAATACACCGGAAGGACCAAGTTTGCTAAGAAAGTCATAATCGTGGACCAATTCTACAAGTTTTAAAAGTCGTGGATCAAAATTATTAGTGACAATATAGTCGTGAGACCAAAAAAAAAAAAAAACTCTAAATGAAAACAATCGAACACTAACAATGCAGTCAGTGATGCAGCAATAAGAAATTCAGAATGCCTCATTGCCCAAATGGTGCAACATTAATTACTAAAACAAACATTTGTCCGTTGAGTAAATTTCAGCTCAGCTTACAAGCAAATAGTAGTTCTTGAATAAAGCCAAATTGATCAAACTGCTTAACAATACGGGTTAACCACTGGTATTATGTGCACCGTGATTTACCCAGTAATCATTGTTCCAGCTCCTTCATCAGTTAAAATCTCAAGTAGCAGGGAGTGCTCTAGCCGGCCATCAATGATACTAGCAGTCCTTACCCCTTGAGCCAGAGACCTCACACAACAATTCACTTTAGGAATCATCCCACCACTAATCTTGCCATCATCCATCATCTTCTTCACTCCTTTGATATCAACCTCCTTCACCAAACTTCCTGGATCATCTCGGTTTTCCAAAATCCCAGCCACATCCGTCAAAAGGATAAGTTTTTCAGCTCCTAATGCTGCTGCCAACTCCCCTGCTGCAGTGTCTGCATTGATGTTGTATGATTGTCCCGACTTATCAGCTGCAACAGAGGCAATCACTGGGATGTGATAGTTGTCAATGAGGGGCCTCAACACATTGGTGTCTACACTTTGAATCTCACCAACGAAACCAAGCTGTGCAGAGTTTGGGGAGGGTCGGGCAGTTAGAAGCTGGCCATCAATACCTGATAACCCGACTGCAGTTGCCCCTGCCTTGTTGATCAAGGCGACAAGATGTTTGTTAACCTTACCCACCAACACCATGGACACAATCTCCATTGTAGAGGCATCAGTTACACGAAGCCCATTTAAGAAGTTGGGTTGGATTCCCAAACGTCCAAGCCACTGGTTGATCTCTGGACCCCCGCCATGGACAAAAACAATGCGGAGGCCAACACAAGAAAGGAGGACAAGATCAGTAATAACAGAAGCCTGAAGGGCTTCTGATTTCATTGCAGCTCCTCCATATTTTACTACAATTGTCTTGCCTCGAAACTTCTGAATAAAAGGCAATGCTTCTGAAAGGATTTTGACTCGGGTTGGTGCTGGTGTTGAAATGGTTTCTGGTGCTACAATAGATTCCAAGGAGGTCTTGAGGCATGAGGTGAGGAAAGGCTTTTTGTTGAATTTTGTACTGACAGGGATAGATTGTGGGAGGCTGAGATTAGGATCACGAACACGAAAGGCCTTTGAGATAGGGGAAGACAGAGGGAGGGTATTAGCAGCCATCATTTCTTCCTTTTTCCCTCTCCTTGATGTCAATACATAGGGCAACGATTTGTAACAGCAGATTTTTCTAGAAGTTCCAAACTTCAAAGCTCTGGATTATTAGTAAGATTCACAATCTGCAACCAAACCCAAAAAAAAACAGTAAAAAGCTAGAACTCAAATGTGAACTATCTATCTAAGCAAAGTAATAATCTAGCATCTTTATAGGTATGAATTTCAAAGATTTATAATAAAATTAGTTTCTCCTCAGCCTCTAGTCTCTGGCTAGCATCACCCCGGCCCCATTAGTAAAAGGCTAAAGCATACATACTACCACGCTTTTACTTGAATAAGCGTAACAGCAACTGGTAACAGAGAATCATGATAGATAGAAATCCATGGATGGTTTAATGAGATGAAACAGCATCTAGCAAATTGAACAGAAGCAATGGTCCATAGCTTCCTGGCTTCCCTCCCCACCCCTAATCCCCTCTTAGAATAGGTAATTGGCCAGTTTGAACAAAGGCGCCGCAATCTTCAACGGCATTAAGGTGCTCAAGTCTTGAACTATTACAAATTAACTGATCTCAAAGTTGAATAGGACAAAGAGAAGGGGTAGATTAACCCACACATATGCGGCTTTATGTTTTCATGTTAATTTAATTGAGCTAAATAACTATCCCCTCCATTGGAAGATTAAAACAAAGCTGGAAATAAGTAAAATGGACGACCGAGGAGTACCTTCGAGAGAGAGAGAAGAGCGGCAGCCGGCAGGTGGATGATGGTGGCGCCGCCGCCAAAACTGGTGACACAGAAGATGGCAACTGGCAAGGGGAGAAACCAGATTTCTCCAACTCTCAACTTCACCGTTTTCTTATTGCTAAATTGTGTTTCATTATGCACTCACGAAATCAATAAACCCTTGACCCCTAAATAGGAGTAATACCAAATACGAAGCCATAATTCATTCCATTACCTACTCTATCCGTTTATTTTCCCCATCCACTTTTATTTTTTTAGGGGAATTGTTATAATATTATTTTGTAATAAATTATTTAACTCTAATGTCATTATATATATATATATATATATATATATATATATATATATATATATATATATATATATATCTACTATCTACTATCTACTATCTACTATATACTATACTATACTAATAAGAGCCCAAGAGAGTTAGGCCTATAATGGGTAGAAAAAATGGCGGTCACAGATTTTAATCAAATGAATGGCTCAGATTAATTAAAAGATTGATCAGATTTAAATTTTACACTAAAATTTCCTAAAATACCCACACACCGTTACTAATTCCGTTAAAATTTTAAGAATTGCCGTTAGTTTACTGTTAACTTACTCATTGATTTCAATAAATAAAGGTCTTAGGTTCGAACCTCATCCCAATCAAAGTTGACATAATTAGTACTCTATTTTACTCTTATTAAATTATATAAATAATAATTTAGTAGTTACAACAAAAAATAATACATATGCATTTCTTTAATTTAGAATTATGTGTTCACAATGCCTTTATTCAAAAAAAAAATTATTCATTATCAATCAATTAAATAAGAGAAATAATTTTATTAGTTATATTGTCTTTATTTTTCTTCAATATAAAAATTCTTTATATTCAAATTTATTAATTGATTATATTCGCTACATTATCCTTACAATGTCTTTATTCAGTGAAATTTTTTTATTAATTATCAATAAATTAATTAAAAGAAATATTTTCATTAGTTATATTGTCTTTATTTTTCTCAAATGTAAAAATTTTTACATTCAAATTCATCAATTGATTATATTCACTACATTATCTATTATCTTTTTTTGTGCACTATTTTTCTAATTAAATATCAAAGTTATAATACAAAATAATGCTATATATTTATTTACCAAGTATTTTATTAATACCATGAAAAAATTAAAAAGATATAATTAATAAAGTCAACCCTATTAACTACTTGAGAGATTTCGTGACAACGAGAGTATTCAAATCACACAACAAATTGAAGTGAGAACTACCTCGCAATGTCCTTGTTTGACAATCAGCAGTTAGCGGTTAACGTTAGCGGATTATACTAGCGGATTTGACCAACGAATTTATTTAATTATTAACATTGGGTAGAAAAAATGACCGACCAAATTATTAAATCAAATGAATGGTTCATACTGTTCAGGTTTTAATTTTTTCTTTTAAGATTTTCTAATTTATCTTTAATTATATGATTATCCATTTAATTTTTCCGTTAATTCACCGTTAGTCTAATTCTAATATTAAAGTCTAATATAGAATTATAACTACACCATTAATCTAATTCTAATATTAAAGTCTTAATAGAACTTAACCACAAATCCTAATGTCGGAATCTCCTCAAACAATATTAGTATATATTTAATATTTTATGTCCTAATTTTTATTTGTTCTCCCTTATGTCCCGTATTTGGTTTCAACGATACCTATACAATTATTTTATTGACAATTATAATCAATCTTGACTATATTATCTTGCATTTGTAAACTTAGAATTACCTATTTAACCCGCACGGGCTTAGCTCAATGGTTTAGTGGGTAGTATTTGGGAGAAGAGACGAAGGTTTGAACCTCGGCGGCGGCAGTGCGGGAATTATGTCCAAAGTGGGCAGATTCCTTGTGCGTATCAGCATTTGGCCCTGTCTGCTGAACCATTGAGTCACCGTGATTTACAACTTCCCGCAATGCTCTATCGGGTCGGAGTGTGGGGGGCCCTTGGGGTTGGGGACTCAACCTTTGGGAGAAGAATTACCTATTTAAATACGCAAATTCAACCTTCAATTATCTATGCATGAGCAATTTCAATATAATCCTGTCTTAATATACTTTAAAGTACTTATTCAAAAAAAAGCATTGGGCATTATCCCAATCGCGCAATGTGCGTAAAAAACTAGTATATTAATAAGAGCCCAAGAGAGTTAGGCCTATAATGGGTAGAAAAAATGGCGGTCAAATTTTTTAATCAAATGAATGGCTCAGATTGATCAGATTTTAATTTTTCCTTAAGATTTCCTAATTAATCCTTAATGAATGTGATTTTCCGTTAAATATTATCTTTTCCGTTAATTTCTGTTAGTTTACCGTTAACTTACTCATTGATTTTAATAAGAATTTAAAGGTCTTAGGTTCGAACCTCATCCCAATCAAAATTGACATAATTAGTACTCTATTTTACTCTTATTAAATTAATTAAAAATAATAATTTAGTAGCTACAACAAAAAATAATACATATCATTTTTTAATTTAAAATTATGTGTCTACAATGCCTTTATTCAAAAAAAATTATTCATTATCAATAAATTAAATCTTCAATATTAGTATATATTTATAAATATTTTATGCCCTAATTTTTATTTGCTCTCCCTTATGTCCCGTATTTGGTTTCCACCATATCTATACAATTATTATATTAACAATTATAATCAATCTTGATTATATTATCTTGCATTTGTAAACTTAGAATTGCCTATTTAAATACGCAAATTTAACATTCAATTATCTATGCATGAACAATTCCAATATAATCTTGTCTTAATATACTTTAAAGTAATTATTTAAAAAAAATATTGGGCATTATCCCAATCGCGCAATGCGCGTAAAAAACTAGTATACTAATAAGAGCCCCAAGAGAGTTAGGCCTATAATAGGTAGAAAAAATGGCGGTCACAGATTTTAATCAAATGAATGGCTCAGATTGATTAAAAGATTGATCATATTTAAATTTTACACTAAAATTTCCTAAAATACCCACACACCGTTACTAATTCCGTTAAAATTTTAAGAATTGCCGTTAGTTCACCGTTAACTTACTCATTGATTTCAATAAAAAAAAAAAAAAAAAAAAGTCTTAGGTTCGAACCTCATCCCAATCAAAGTTGGCATAATTAGTACTCTATTTTACTCTTATTAAATTATATAAATAATAATTTAGTAGTTACAACAAAAAATAATACATATGCATTTCTTTAATTTAGAATTATGTGTTCACAATGTCTTTATTTAAAAAAAAAAATTTATTCATTATCAATAAATTAAATAAGAGAAATAATTTTATTAGTTATATTGTCTTTATTTTTCTTCAATATAAAATTCTTTATATTCAAATTTATTAATTGATTATATTCGCTACATTGTCCTTACAATGTCTTTATTCAGTGAAAAACAAATTATTAATTATCAATAAATTAATTAAAAGAAATATTTTCATTAGTTATATTGTCTTTATTTTTCTCAAATGTAAAATTTTTTACATTCAAATTCATCAATTGATTATATTCACTACATTATCTATTATCTTTGTTGTGCACTATTTTTCTAATTAAATATCAAAGTTATAACATAAAATAATGCTATATATTTATTTACCAAGTATTTTATTAATACCATGAAAAAATTAAAAAAATATAATTAATAAAGCCAACCATATTAACTACTTGAGAGATTTTGTGACAAAGAGAGTATTCAAATCACACAACAAGTGAGAACTACCTCGCAATGTCCTTGTTTGACAATCAGCAGTTAGCGGTTAACGTTAGCGGATTATATTATTAACATTGTATAAGTATGGGTATTTTAGTGAGAAATATACAAGCGGATTATATTCAAATTTTTTAATTGCACTTTGACCAGCGAATTTATTTAATTATTAACATTGGGTAGAAAAAATGATCGCCAAATTATTAAATCAAATGAATGGTTCATATTGTTCAGGTTTTCATTTTTTTTCTTTTAAAATTTTCTAATTTATCCTTAATTATATGATTATCCATTTAACTTTTCCGTTAATTCACCGTTAGTCTAATTCTAATATTAAAGTCTAATATAGAATTATAACTACACCATTAATCTAATTCTAATATTAAAGTCTTAATAGAACTTAACCACAAATCCTAATGTCGGAATCTCCTCAAACAATATTAGTATATATTTCATATTTTATGGCCTAATTTTTATTTGTTCTCCCTTATGTCCCGTATTTGGTTTCAACCATACCTATACAATTATTTTATTGACAATTATAATCAATATTGACTATATTATCTTGCATTTATAAACTTAGAATTACCTATTTAACCTGCACGGGCTTAGCTCAATAGTTTAGTGGGTAGTATTTGGGAGAAGAGACCAAGATTTGAACCTCGCCGGCGGCAATGCGTGAATTATGTCCAAAGTGGGCAGATTCCTTGTGCGTACCAGCATTTGGCCCTGTCTGCTGAACCATACGCAAATTCAACCTTCAATTATCTATGCATGAACAATTTCAATATAATCTTGCCTTAATATACTTTAAAGTACTTATTTAAAAAAAAAAAAAAAAAAAACTAGTATATATATATGCACACACTACTCCATAAATAATAAATTCAGAATTCAAAAATGTCCAGAATAAAATATCAAACACCGATAATATTATTCAAATACAAAATACATTATAAATTACAATACAATATTTATGAATGATGAACTACATGATAGTACTCCTTTACGTTCTCTCATATTTATATACTGCAGCAATTGGCTGTGAACGTGGACAGTAGCAGTGTGTAGAATCAACGAATAGCAATGAAGACGGCACACAGAAGAGCCTGAATCTTGAGATATATGAGTGTTGAAACTCACACAATCATGCACAAACACACAATATGCGATAACCGTGCGTAGAATCAACGAAGAGCGATGGAGACATCCTGAGATGTATGAGCATAGAAACTCACACTATCAACTCGCACTATCAATCTATCATGCACAGATCCACCAATGGTATAACTTATTTTAAATTGTAAATAAACTATAAACTATATTTACTTATTTTTTTTTATATTTACTGGAAGGTGATACCCGAAGAAAAGCAAC